AGCTGATCTTAGTCAGTAACAAAGCTACACGGATAGTCTCACTCCATTCTACACCATACTTAACTTATATTTGGGTGACAATTGCACTTAGATTGCGTACCCATCTCAATTAATAATAATAATTAAATGAAAAAAAATACTATATGCTTTTGAAGATTTTATAATGTTAAAAGTTGCTTGTGTGTATTGTCATAGCAAATATAAAAACTCACTGCGCCAATTTTCTTTATACTGATAAAGAATAGGTAAACCTGCATATCATTTCTCCTTGAATATAGTGTATAACGTCATTTTATTAAAATGGCTTGAAACTCGGTTAGTCTGCATGAGTTTACGTCGAAAGTGTTGTTATAGCGTTGATTAACTGAAGTATGATATAATATTACTTCTTCTTATAGCTTCACTTCAGCTACCACATAAACAAAATTTATATTATAGCTGTCTATAATTCACTATTATTTGTGAACATTCAATACTTTCCATCAGTTTTTGCTTGACGAGGTTTAATTACCGAAAACTAAAAAGTACAAACGTAATTAGGCGTTGAAACGTCAAAGAATCTATGAAATGTCGCATGAATGTCGTATGAAATGGACGCAAAACTGTATTAATTTGTTACAGTGAACATTTCAATTACACTCCCTTGATTAAAACCTAACTGACTACAGTTTTGGGAAGTGATCACGTTTTTGCAAAAACTCGATCTCAATGCAGCTTTTCCCTATTCAAAGAGACGCCTCCATTAGTGGCCGATACGACGGTGTATTTACTGACTTTGACAGCGATGCAGACCGACGTGTGCATGTTTTGTGGGGTATTCGGTTTCAATTGCACCAATTTGTTGTCGCATTTTGTCGCGGTTTTGCACCGCTTCGCTCTCAACATTCCGTTTATTGTCTGACCGGTTTTACTTGGCTTTTTGTTTCTGTCTGAGATCTGTCGTCCGCACGCAAGGGCGTTGCCGCGATTTGATTAAAAAGGTTGAATGATAATGATAACGTAGGCTAAGGGATTTGAATTCACTATTTTACTGGCTTCGGGCTGATACTCCAAGGTTTAAGGTAGATTTAGCTTTTTTATTCTCAAACTTCCTTATTTTATTTAGGCTCTTAGTTTTGTTCTCAAGGTCAAAGAGGCTACTAAGCCAAAGTTTATTTAAAATGTGGTGACAGTGTAATGACAGTAAAAGGTATATGGGAACGAATCTTACCACCCTGCACTTGTACTCCTCACCTCAGATGCACACCTCTAGTGATTCTCTGAAATTTGTAGGAAGTTCGATGAATGTAATGATGAATTCTAACCTAATTCAAACTAAAAAAAAATAAATTTCAATAGGTCTATGTCGTCTGTCGTCTGTCTTCTCTGTTTGTCTTTTTTTCCGAAAATTGTCCATCCGATCGCACTCCTCTAGCCAACCTAGAACTGACAGGTCAACGCGTCCGTACGGCACACGACGGGCGACGAGAATATTATTATTTTCTACTCCCGTTCTTGAACTCCCCTACGAAACCGTCCCCAACCTTCTTAAGGCTCAATATAAGTAAAATAAATATAATGATTCATAAAGGCATAATAAGATGAATATTTAAAAATTAAAGCCGAGTGGATGTGTTTATTGGCGTTACGAAAAATCCTTTTTAAAGGTAATGAATCACTATGGTGTAAGACTTGAATACAAAATTTGGAAATTTTCACAGTTAATTTGAGGTAATAATAACCATAATAGGATTCCGAAATGAAATTGTTAGATATGAATTCATAAAAATAAAACTGTAGGATAATATTTATTTAAACTAAATGTTAGGGAAACAATATTATGTTTCCAATTATACAAAATTCTTCTAGGTCTTTTTAGGTTTTGAAATTTTAACTACTTATATATGTTTAGAAAGGGTTTACGCTTTATATTAGGGTTTACGCTTACAATGTTAAAGGCCATTTATTTGATACGTTATATCAAACTTATCAGCCAACTTGCGGTTGGCATATGGCTAGAAGGTAACATATAGCCTAAAGTTAAGATAATAACTTGCTAGTTTAGGATAGATTTTAGATTAGGTCAAGCTTAGACTGCTGCTTTGTACGCCTCTACCTTCAGATCATATGCCTTTTACAAGTTATTGCAGTAACTTTAGAGCGTGTATACAACAACCTTTTATATTAATAAAGTGATTTCAGTTATATTATCGAAATGGACACATAGTATAAAGAGTAGATGACTTATAGTCGTTACTCATAATCTATTTAACTCGAAAACAGGAAACAATTTTCAATATTTCATCTTTTAACTAACGAATTAGAAATAAATTTGCCATACAAGTATAAAATTGATCAAGGTTGATCTTTTTATACCAAAACCTCGCGCTCTTATCTCTCAATGCCAAGGCTCAGAGATCGACAAACGCTTGAAAGCGTTAAGCTCTCCCAATAAGGCGTTTTGATGATAAAGCACAGTCGGGCGTCAAGCCTGTCATTTGGGTAAACACCACAATCATCCAATGAACTGTTCTAATTAGACAAGAATTTTGGGCGTTGGCTCCTCTGTCGGGATGTCTCGCTACCGTCTTCTGCAGCCATGTGGTAGGTGTCTTAAAGTTGATTGTGGTTTTCAGAACTTAATTTGGCATAGAGAAAGTTGACTTGTTCCAAGATTCCAATCCAATTTGAGAATTCGAAAAAAATTATATGTAGGTATTTGCATATATTTTTAAATCTCGAATTTTGAAACAAAACAATGTTTATTTGAGGCGGGTATTCACAACCCGTTGTCACTTCCTGCTAATGATTAGAGTAGTCTTACTTCTTTAAAAACATTCCAGTAAATAGAACAAGCTAATTGCTAAATTTAAATTGTTAACTTAGCTGCTTGAATGCTTTGTACACAAAATATGACATTTAAAAGTAAGTTTTAGAGCCCACTCTTCAACTATTCCTCACTAACATTAATGAAAATAATTAGTATAAAAGGATTTTACTAGATTTAGCTTACTTCACAATTTATTCATTGTTAATATTTCTTCTCGTGTGGTTAACATTAACATTTTTCAAACAAACTTTATTCCTCATTAACGCATTTTTTCAATGATCTGTACATATTTTCAATGTTATCAATTCCATCCAGTACAAATATGCTTTGTGTCAAAAGAAACTCCAAACGGACAAGTTATGATTTTGTTAATTAAAACTTCAGTCCGCCCAGCCGTTAAAGTCTCCCAAGTTTCCCATTGTGTGATAGCCAAGGAACCCACGTGTGTAATCCTCGTTTTGGGGACATATAATAATATCGCCCACATTTTGTGGACACGGACGAGGATGTGGAGTGGTTAGTAGTAGAGGTATCCTGACCATGACATTTAAAACCATCAAGTATCTTGTTTCCAAAAATAAACAACTTTTCTACTAACGCAACGATCGCCAGCTTTTAGATCCCGCTTCCTCGGCTCGAGTGGTGTTCGTTACGCTGTTGAACATGGTAGTAAATTACCCATCCACTTTGAATTATTGACAAACTGTGGATCATTAAACTGTATGACAGAAGTTTTTGTGAGGAAGTATTAAATCAGTGCGGGCAAGAATCATTTAAGACTACTGAATAAATCTGTGGTTACGTTTTCAATTAGACTCTAAGGTTGATCAGTAAATTTTATAAGGAATGCTATAATATTTTCGGTGACTTTTATGTGTGTCGTTCTAACAATGAACTTGATGATCCAGCTTAGAATTAAGTAAGTTTCGAATGTTTGTACAACATTGAATTTAAGATTATTTATTTACAAGATTTCTTTACTACCCTCCCCACTTGCAATGACATTAGCTTTAGTTATTAATGGATTCAACATTGATGGGTGTGAGTCAATACACCAAACCTCAACTACTGTTAACAGTTAACAGAGTCTAACCCCATTCGAGAAAATGTTTCATTGTAAATCATTGTTGATAAAATTTAATTTGATAGCTACCTAAGAAGACTCCTGTTTTTTAGACGTATTAAAGTCCTGGCACCAATGATATAAAAAGCCACAATCAAAATGACAACAAGCTATATTATAATGCCATGACTTGGTAGTAATATGTGCCCAGACATCTACGTAGCGAGGAAAAGGATGCGGACTTTATATACACAAGGTATATAGGGGATCTGTACAAAAAATTCATCTGTTAAGTTTCTCAAGTGTATTCCAAGGGAATTATAAAAGTCTAAAACTGGTTGGATACGTTTGATGTGTTGAAGTGTTAAAAGTCTTTCTATCAAAGAAAAATGTTAGCAACCACTTATTGTATAACCTAAATCTAAAATATTTTATATTCTTTTCAAATATAATTTTAACAAATAAACCAAAATAACTTTTAGTGTTGTAATTTTTGTGTGGATTTGAATACAAATGCCAGGTCACCTAGTCATCTGACTGATATGCGTAGAGGGCGTAGGCTTCAGTCCCGTAGTCAAGGTGGGGTCACTTCATTGAGCAAACACTTCTCACTTCTCCTGTCACTGACTGATGCACACACACACACCTTTGCAGACAAGAGCCTTTCCAGACGGATTGAAATGTCTGAATTTTTGTAAGCGACAAACACATTTTATTACATATAAAAGCGTATAATTTGGCGTTCTTCAGGGTTACACTTGCACACTGGGACCACTAACATTGTTAGAGCACTTGCTTGTGACATGCTTCTAAAATCATTCTTGAGTTTTAGTTATTAAGAATTGTACATTTTTTCGTATTGTATACAGTAATAATCAGTGAGTGGTTACACTTTAAATCAGTTGGTTTCTGTTTTGACCGAGAATTATCTATATGGATCAAGCTACCATTTGTCATTGGACTATTGATTTTTATTGATGATTCTTTCGAGAAACAGGTCGATGGCAGATAGTCAAACAGCATGAAGGGGGTTGCTCCCTTGATCGATAAATATACTGTACAAAATGAACTATGGAATTTATGTTTAGTTTATTTCCATTACTTCAAACGCCAATTACATTGTTGCAGGTGATGATGGGCCTCGAAACGATCTCACTGACAACAACATGCATATTCCTAGTCCAGGTAAAACGTTATCTATGTTTACAATGGTAGATTAATTAATATACTAGATATTATTCACGTTGTATTGGCCCATGTATGGTGACACAATTAGCCGTAAAAATAATGATATATACATAACAATCCCCATGGGGCGGTTGTTCATTGTAAGATGTTATGATTATTTTTGGTACCTCATTTCACGTTTATATATAAGGTCCTGTAAACCTAAAAAAAAATTTTATGCATGTGCTAATTCACTCGACATTTTCTGGTTTAAAAATGAGTTCTAAAGCAATTAAGCAATTATAACTGTTTAAATTATACCTGCTCATATACTTGTGAATACCTTGTTTTAAACACACCAAACAATAAATTATCAAATAGAGTACGATTTCCTTTTGTTCTTATAACGTTGTGATAAAGAGATAGTAACAAACTCAACTGGTCCTATGAGTATGTTAATGTTGAATCTAAATAGAACCATCGACTAACTAACCAACACAAGCAAGTAGAACTATCAACCAATTAAGATTATTAAGACAATTTGCCTACAGCACACAACGATGAACATGTCGTCCTACAAAGTTATATCTCGTTATCTGTCAAAGTTAGGGCAATAAATCTTTTCAGGAGCAAATAGGCAAATAAATTAGCACAAAATGGCCAAAGTGTAAGCAAAAGCTATCGAAGACTTAATCAAGTATTCAGTGGCAGAAGGAGCAATATGTCAAAGTCTGGCTAGGCCCCAAACTGCCTCAGGAGGTGAATTCATTATTAAAAACGAGACCTGGCTGTCTACTTTTGGAAAACGTCCCAATATCGGTAAAACCACTTAAATGTATCCATATCCATAACATACAAAAGCAGCTTTTGTGTCTGAGGAGTAAAATATTTGTTGACCCCGTCGATTAATTATTGGATGGTTAGTTTGAATTCATAGGTTGTACTTAACTATAATTTAGTTTTTAGGCTTAATCCTTAGCATAACTGAGCCTAGTCTCTATTACTTTTCAAATGTTACGGATGGCAAAGCCAAAACAAAGACTTTTGAAAATTGTTTGAAACTGTAAATAAAATAGCGTAGAAGTATTTGTACACATTTTACAAATCCTATAAATTGAAAACAATAGGCTAGTTTTGTTATTATTTTGAGTAAAATTGAAGTTCTCTTACTTAAAAAAATATGACTACGTGAATCGAAGAACGAAGAATTTGTCTTGTAATGATTAATAGTAAAGTCGGTAAAGTGGACACGATTTTGAAAATTCGACTTAAATAAACTTGATATTTATTGCATGACATATTTCATTTAAGCAAATGTATTGTTTTCTAAAACGTAAAAAGAATTGCAAATTTCATAATGAAGTAGGCCTACACCATAATTTTGCAGCTCAAAATCTTACCCTGGCAAAACGTATGTGGTTTTGGAAAGGGATCCCTGGCACGAGCGAAGAGTCATAAAATGTCTCGCCAAATTTGAGTCACCCACGAGAACATAAGCTGGATGATGTTTGGACACCCGCTGGGCGTTGGTAGAACGGCTTTTGAGAACGGTGGCTTGTCTGATTAGGCAGTGCGTGTGCGCGTGACTGGGTTTATAAGTGTATGCGTGTGTCAGTCGGGAGCGGGTCTCAGTGGGTTGCCGAGGTGTTACCATGACCTAGTGGGAAATAATGGTGTTTCATAGAAGGGGCAGTACACAAAAATAATCCTTTGTGAATCTACAAAGCTTTTTGTAGGGGGGACTGTTTTCACGGATTGGTGATTGGTACCGGTACTTTGACGTAATGTCAACTCAACGTGTTTGTAATTTGAAATGGTGGTAGCTTGACGTGATGGCAACTTGACTTGGTGGTAAGTTGAAGATGTCGTGTTGAATAACAAAATTATAAAATCTTTATTCCTGGAGCTTTTGGGACGTCGCTTTGGACGTTTGGTGGGTTGCCTCCTCCACAACAACCCGTCCAGTCTAGCCTACCGCTAAAACTCTAATAAACACTTAGCCTATAGATAATACAGATGTGTGTTTATTTATTAGGCCTCATCCCATAGCTATGTGCTTTGTTAACAATCGTTTGAATTTTATTGGCTGGTATATTTTATTTTTCGAATGAAAAGATCGTGTGGGGATTAATAAGCAATGCGATATGGACTGTGGTCTATAAATTACTGAGCCTTGTCCTTGGAGCGAAAATATTAAACTACTTAAGCGCCGCAATAAGGTACAATGAAGCCGTAAAAAAATTGCATCCTTGAATGCAGCAGTTTTGCAGCGTCATGACGAAAAAGACAATACGTAGGTCATTCCTACTGGTTCTTATCACGTTAGGAACATTAATGACTGGAATATTTGGTAACATACGTATTATCAGAGCTATTTAGAGTATCATGCTGCCCTGTGACTGTATACCAATTTGGCTTCCAGGAGAAAAAAGGTCCTTTGTATTAACTTGCTAAGATTTGTACTACACATAACAACTCTATCATTGTTATGCTATGTGCGTAAAAATAAGTTTATAAGAGTAAGGCATGTTGGTAGTTGGTCACACCACATGATCTTTACGTCGTCCTGACTTGGAACATAACGTTTGTCCAATAAATAAAAATACCCCCGCCGCAGCAAACTAAGCGCAGACTAAGCAGACTAAGCGAACTTCAATTTGTCTGTTTGTAGTTTTTACTAAACTATTTCTATGAACAAGTCATCTCTATTCCCTATCCTATCCTATACTCTTATATGAGCAATGTTTGCTTTTATGTATGTATGTATTGTATGCTTGCACAAAGATCTCTAAAATGACTTCGACGATTTCCTTCGAATTTTGTAAATTACTTATTTTAGGCCTAAAACGTAATTGATGACAGCCACTACCTCAGGAAAATTCATATTTCGCTACACAGCTCATTTTAAAATTTCTATAGGCTCATAACACAAATAATGGAGAACAATAATGTTTTCTGAAGTTAAAACTACAAATTTGGGCAAATTAAATAGATTAGCAGATATTACCTTCATAAAAATGCAATTTTCTCCATTATTTGTATTACGATCTTTTTAAAATTGTACATTTCTTTAAATTGAATTAAATTTACACCTCTTTTGTCACTTGTGACGTTTTAGCGAATTTCCCCATAGGGAAGTAGCTATTACCATAGGTGGCCCGGGACCGATTTACTTTTTCATTTTGATGTCCCCAGAGACCAAAAACACCATCCGTTCAAATGTTTTTATGTGTATATGTATATATATATATATATATATATATATTATATACGTCCGTGACCGCGATATTTTGAGTAGTTTTGCGGACAAAAACTACTCAAAATATCGCGGTCATTCATAATCGGAATTTTGATGACATTTGGTTTGGGTTTAAAGGTGTAAGGCGGGATAAACTTGAATGAGTTCGCGAACCAACATGATCGGACCATGGGAACGGGGTTTTACGGGGTGTTTTATGGGGTAAAAAATGGCTTTTTTATTTTTGACCCTCAAAACACAACATTTCTCTATTGATTTTAAGCTTTTATGAATAGCTTAAAAATAACAAAATTAGTTCCTATACCAAAGTGTTTTTGCGGTTATTGGTAACGAAAAAAATTAATATCATTGTAAATTTAAAATTCCCATGTTATTCTTATGAAGAACTAGCTGTTGTACCCGTGCTTTGCAACGGGAAGAGGACACAAAATAGAAACATTTTAATCTTTACATATGTTGCATATAATAGTTACACATCCGCCAACGCTTTTGGAAACAAAATTTTACTTTTATGGCCTTAATAGAAACGTTTAAGTTATGACTTTTAAATCTGGTAAGTAGTGGATACCACCACTTTGGTTTTGATTAATTTTAAATATTGTGTAGGCTGATATGAGAAACACTGACCAAATCTTCAAATAAAACTTTCACATACATGATTTACCTTCATCTCCCTTAGTTACATATCTTTTTTCTTTATTTTTGACATTTCAAATTTCAATTTTGAAGTTGAAAAAATACTAATTATTAAATTTAAATGAACATTTTTTTTTTAATTTCACTCTTCTTTATATTAAATCACAAATCCTTCCATCTTCAGTTTCTTCACTCACAATAAATCATTAGCAAAACTAAGTCAGCTGTTATAAACTTTAGAAATATTGTTGTGCCTTATCAATAGTCTTTTGAAAATATTAAAGAAACTATATCTATACTATAAAAAATGTTAAACATAATTTACCATTAAAGACAGTAGACAAAACTAATATGATTATCAAAGCATCAAGGACTAAAAAATGGAATAGCAAATACAGTATATGTTTCATTGCATCTCTGATTCTACTCTACAAAAATATCAACAAACAACTAAATATACAAACCAGTTCTTTTAATCAGTTCCATCGTCCATTGCCTTTACATTTTCACACTTACCATTAAGTAAACATAGTAATCGATATTTCATAGATTTTAGAAACAAAAGAACACTGTGTACTGCTTAGTTTTATGAAATTTTCCTTGGTTTAATTTAATCAGTGGTGTGGCAAAACACAAATAATAAATTTATCAAATTAAGTAAATGTGAACTGAAAGCTATGTTAAGATAAAATAAAAGTATTTTGTATTACTATTTGATAATTAAATATTATATGTATACACTGTTGTATACACATATAGGTACAACAGATTTTAGAACACAAAAATCAACGACGTACAATTTAGTTATTGATGATATTCTTTAGTTTAATTTAAGCATAGGTTTAGCAAAACACAATAACTAAATTTACCTAAATATACATATAATATGATGTGCAAGTTATGTTAAGTTAATCTAACACATGTTAAGCAGTTCGAATTTATTTAAAGTAGCCTCCAAATTCATATAACACATCTATACATTGTAATTTTCTTACTGTTTCCATGAAAATGTATCAGTAACATTATTTTCATAACACTTAGGACTTTTCCTTCCACCATGACTTAAGACACTTTAAAAATCGAAAGCAGAGCCTGAGTTGATACGTAGTTACATTGAAATGTG